AGCTGTAAAAAAGAAGGATTTCCACCCTTTGTGACAGAGTGGATGGACTTGGAGAGTATTATGCTGAGTGAAAAAAGCCAGTCAGGGAAAGACAAATATCACATGATCTTGCTTATAAGTGGAATCTAATGAACATAATAAACTGACAAACATTATAGGCCCAGAGGCATGGAGGTATGGAACAGCATGACATACCTCTGGGGGGAGGGGGGAGCCGAGAAGAGATTAACCAAAGAATTTATATACATATATGCATAACTCAAGGACACAGACAATATTGTGGTGAAGGCCTGGGATGGGGCAGGGGCTCAGAGAAGGGAGGCAAAAGGGATGAAATTTGGGAGATATCTGTAATACTATCAACAATAAAATAAAAAATAAAAATTTTAAAAATCCCACAAAAACTCAAGCCCTAAGCAGGATTCCTCTAATGATTACATGTCTATACCCAGGAGCTATTAGCCTGCAGACCATGGAAACAATGTAGTGCAGGCTGGAATAAAATACAGTTAAAGAGACCTAGCATTTCACTCTGTTACACCAGAACTGATAAATGAATTTAGCAATTTCATAGGCTACAAGATTAACATAGAAAAATCAATTGTATTCTTATATAGTAGCAAACAATTGGGAAATTAAATTTTACAAATTCCATCTACAGCAGCAACAAAATCCATAAAATACCTAAGACTAAATCCAGCAAAATATGTCCAAGACCTCCAGGATGTCAACTATAAAACATTTCTGAGAGAATTTAATAAGATCTAAATAAATGGAAGTTATACCATGTTCATATATTGAAAGACTATTAATACAGCTATTCTCACCAAATTTGTCTACAGATTTCTGATAAAAATTCCTTCAGGCTTAAGAAAAAATAGTTAACCAGCTGATTTAGAATTTATATGAAAATTCAAAGGAACTAGAATATCCAAAGCAATTTAATAGAGAAGGGATGGATTACAAATGGGAACAAAGAGACTTTTTGAGGTGATGGAAGTGTTTGCTATTTTGGTTGTGGTCATGGTTTCATAGCCTTCACTTTAATAAAGCTGAAATGCTTACTCACATGTAGACACAGGCCGAAAGGACTGAAAGTGACAATGTGTTTTGGTGTTTTGTTCTCATTTTTGGTTTGCTTGTTTTTGCTTTTTCCATTGTAAGTTCATTTTTTCCCCCTTGCTGACCTCTTTAAACTCTCAGCAATATCTCCACTTTCTGTATTTGAAGACAACAGCATATGCTACTGAAAGTCTGACTTCTTTTCTCAGAGATCTTTTTCTTGTTAATTACTAAGCTTCTATCCCAAGCCTTGCTTCAAAAATCTATAAAAACATATTTTCTTCAAGAAACGAAAAAGTTTACAAACATGAATATATAAATGACTGATGCAGGTGAATGTGTTAGTCCCTTTTGTTGTTCCTGGTTAATTTACTTTTGTTTTCATAAGAGATTCATTTTATTTTCTTACAGGCCTCTTTAGGGACACCCCCAATGACATCTCTTTATCACCACCTTAAAAACTCAGAATGTACTGCCCACCAAGATCAGAAAAAGTTGATACTCCCATGAGATGCATAAATTAATAAAATTGTGCACTGTGGTAACTCAGTTCTTCAATCACCTTCTGACTTGGCCCCCTGACTTTTACTTTTTCCACAAAGTTCTGACCTCACTTCTCCACCCTTGCAGAAACACCCAGGAAAGGGTGCTTCCTTCATTTCACCTTCAGTTATGTTCTGACCATGGTCCCTGAATTTTATTGCTTCTAGAAAGTTCTGTACTTATCCCTCACCATCAGATAAACACCCAGGAGGGAAGGTGTCTTAATTTGGTTCTCCTTCAACCAATCACATTGTGACATTCTTCTCTGACCTTTACCAGTTCCAGGAAGTTTTGACCATATCATCCTATCCCCTCAGAAACACCAAGGGGAGAGGATTTATTTCAGGTCTTCAAAAAACCATATTCTGAACCCCAACATTGACTCTTACTTCTTCCAGAAAGTCTGTTCTTATCCTCATCATCACCAATAACCTGGTGAGGCTTCCTTCGGTTCTTCTACCAGTCAAGTTTGATCTCACCTTCTATCTCCAGATTTTTCTAAAAATCGATGCTACCTTGGGGAACCTAGAAAGTATGGTATTGATTTTGGTATAGAAAGTATGGTATTGATTTTCAGTGACCAAAAGTCCATTCATGAACATTATTCAATCACCTACCTATTAAGAAGTGCCTATGAGCTCCCCACCTTGCATTTTCAGATCAGTCTCTCCATGATCCCCTTCTTCTAGACAGAAGATGAAATATCTTTCTAGCTCCAAAATGTTGTAAGGGGCACAGAGTCCACCTTAAACGTGTTTCTCAATTGAACATGCAGAAACTCAGATGACTAAAATGCAAACATTAAATAGTGATTTTGTATAAGTTGCACGTTTGTTTATACACACTACTGGTAATCAGTACACACAGCAAGAATTTCCAAATCATGCCTTGTGGAACTACTGTGGTGAGGAGAAGTACCCTGAAATGGGAATTGTGGTCCCAGCTCTACCACTAACTGGCTGTGTGAGCTTGGGAAAATCACTTTCCTGCCTAGTTTCCTTATTTGTGAAATGAAGTTTGGATTGAAAAAGTGACTTTCAATTTTTTTTACCTTGTGACCTACAGTTAGAAATACTTAAAAAAACAAAAACCTTTTATAAGGTGACAATATTTCCTACATGTAAAACTAAAATAAGTTTCTTAAAATAATTCTCAACACTACTCATCAGTGATGGACTGATGTTTTTGTTCTATTCTTTTGTGTTTTAAAATTTTTTCGTGCCTTTTTATTGATTTTAGAGAGAGAGGAAGGAAGAGGGAAGCATCAGTGTGAGATCAAAACTTCAATCAGTTGCCTCCCACATGATCCCTGACCAGGGATTGAACCTGCAACCTGGGAATGTGCCCTGACCAAGAATCAAACCCATGACCTTTCTGTGCAAAGGATGACACTCCAACCAACTGAACCACCCTGGCCAGGGCCTATCATGTTTTGTAAAATTGCCTGTTATGACCCACAACACTGATTTCAAGAGCCATAATGGGTAGCAATCCTCACTTTGAAGAACACTGGGCTGGAGGGTCTTTAAGATTTCTTTCTGCTATATTCTAAAAAAAAAAATAGTGTCTGCACTAGGAATATAGAAAATCAAAGTATAAAATAACAGCCTCAGTCTTCCTTGACCTTCCTCAGCTTATGTTACAAGTCAAATATTCTGTGTCTTCAGATGACAAAGTATAAAAAATGGCCCAGGCCAGATTCCCCCTTCCCAAGACCTACAGCAAGTGGTAGCCTTGGTACTTAGCATCTTTAAACTCCAGTACTCTCATCTGTCGCTTTCCCTACCACTTTATACATCAGTCTATTTTAAGGTCTTGTATTTTTCTTTTAATGTATTTTGCCAATTGAATTCAAATAAGTATTCACCTTATGTTACCTAGTTGTTTACACTTAGTATGACAATACATGGCTATATGTACAGGCACATACATACACACACCAATATATACACACATCTGTACATAGCTACATACATGTACACAATAGTGCCCTCAGGCTTCATTGTACATTAGAATTACCCAGGGAGCTTGTTAAAAAGTGGAGATTCTTGAGCCTCACTCTGGATCTGGAGGATAAGAGACAGAGATCTTACAGTCTCAAAAAGCTCCCCCACCAAAGTGCTTTTAGGCAAACGATGGACTCACACTCTTTGAAAAAACAGTAGAAAGTACATTCTTAAAATGGTATCAGATGTTGAATTATGAGTAGAATCTTTCCTTACTGATTGGTGGGGGACAAGAAAGATGAGGAGAGGGACTGGGGAGAGGGATGGGACAGGGTGGAATGAGTCATTGGGGAGAAAAAGGGATATCTGTAATATTTTAAACAAAAATAAATTTTTTAAAAAAAGTAGTCAAAGTCCATTGAGATTTTGAATCATAGGTAGTTAGGAAAGGAATGGTAATATTAACAAAAATAAAAACTGAGTAGAAGAGGAAGACTGATTTTTAAACCGCTTTATTAATTTTACATCATGAAAAGAATATTTTTTCCAAAAACTGGGTGAAATTGCCCTGCTGGACAGAGTTTTACACTGAGACAAAAGAATATTCAATTAGAAACTAGTAAGAGGAAACAGCAAAAGGTTTACAGAAAAGTAAATCACAAAACTACTAGCTTTTTTAGCAGAGGCCACATTATTAACCTCAGTGAAAACTTTAGGATTCAAGGAATAAGGCAAAAGTCATAATGATTATCAGGCTCAGGAGTTTGGAAGCGCATAACATGTCTCATTTGCTGCTCCCTAGTCTTTCTCCTGATTTCCATCCGCTGCATTGCGATCTTTTCTATATTATCTCCCACTTCACTGTGATCAACACGCTTGTTAGATATGCCCCGGCGAAAATTAGGGACAAGTCGCTTAACCCACCCCAGCCTGACATTTCCTACAGGCTTCTGGGCTTCGCCTCCGCCCAAATTGTGTGGTTTCTCCTCATTCTGCACAAGGGCCTGGTCCCCTCCTTCATTTTCCTGTTGGGCATTTTCCATGTTAAGAATTTTTAGTGTTGGTTCCTCTTTGGACGCCATTGTTCCTAGGAGACAAGAGATAAAAGGAACTATTTTTTTGGTGGACGGATCAGCACCGAGGACAGAGGCCCTACTACGCACCTTTCACGAAACAGCCCAGGATTTCAAAGGCTTTTTAAAACTGCATTTTTCCCACCTGAGAGGCTCCCTATGCCCTCTAGGGGGCCTCCAGTCCCAGCTCTCCCCCCTCCCTCTAACTCCCCTCCCCTCCCCTCCCTCGCCCCAAACCCACCATTTTCCCTACGATCCAAGCCCAGGCCTCTGCAGGCACCAAAATGGAGGACGGGATGGAGGTAGGGGAAAGAATTTGGGGTCTCAGGGTTTTCCATTCTTTCCCTGCCCATGGACCACTGGGCCCCGCACCCACCTGGGCCTATCCTTGCTGTCTGCTCCTCCTCCCGATTCTCGCCGCGAGCGCGCTGCTGCCACACTTGGACCCGAAGACCTGCAGAGCAGCGGGGTGCGGGAGAGGGTGGCGCTGCAGCCGAGCGCTCGGTGCCCACCCG